AAACAATGTGGTAGCAGGTACTTCAAACCTGACTTAGCTGTATTGAGTTAGTGTGACATCATATCACAACTCGAGGAGAGCTTAAAGAACCTACTCAATCGTAACACATGTACAAAAGTATAAAAATGATAGAAGTTGTCTGACCTTGTTTTCGCAACATGGTCATATTGGTAGGAAGACTTAGAGGAGCAAACCTAGTCCAGAGTCCATTGTCTGCATGATAACTTCCAAAGTTGAACCATGGACGTGGTACATTCCCAAACGTTTCGCCGGCATCGTAGTCGGCATCGTCAGTGAGTATCGCCATTCTTAGCACTATACAACAACTTGTCAAAGAGACAAGTGAAGCCGATACTTTGACCAAACGTGAGCTAAACAATTGTGATATCTTCCATTCTGCCCTGGGTTATTCGCGTTTCCGGTAGTATTCTATCATGCCTCCACTATTACAATTTTATCGTGTTTATTTAGATAGTGTGGTGTGCTCCTTTGAGCGACATGACACCTTCACACTCCAAATGTCGTTCGCACCCCACCCCCCCTTCATCCTTGTGCAGGGAATGTTGATCAGAGTCTGCTTATTATTATGCAGTCCTCTTCCCTAGTCTTATCCCAGTCTATCTCTTGCTCAATAAAACCGTCTGCTCTACCCCTTGTTCACCTATTTTACTCAACTCATGTCACCACATCTGTCCTACTCGAGGCGATATTAGCCCTCACCTGCGTCTGGGTGACTAATTCGAGGCTCAAGCCTCTGAGCGTCATCGTCACCCCTTTGCTACATGGACCACGTCTCCGGTACAACAGACTTACCGTCAGCCAATTAGCTCCGGTCTCCGCCGTCTCTATCCTGTTTCTATCCCCAATACCAAGTCTATGACTTGCCATGCCATAGTCTCTTGTGTGCCAACCCACAAATGTTGTAGTACCGCTTGTTTTAATTTGGTTTAATGTTGAGCCACAACATTTGTTGGTTGGCACACAAGAGACTAGGTCATAGGAAGTAATAGGCTTCGTAGTATAGATAGAAATAGTGGAAGCTAGAGCTGGTTGGCTAACAATAGTCGTCATTCAAGGATCACGTTATGATCAAACACGTCTATTGTTAGCCAAACAGCTTTAGTCTCCACCTCGTCTTTCCTGTTTCTATCTCTAATACCATAACTATCACTGCCTATGTCCTAGACCAACCCACAAATGTCGTGGTTCTACTTGTTTTGATAAGGCTCACTGAAGACATATCCTCTTTGCTTCTGATTCTTCCTTTCTTATTCCATTACGATCTCTTTTCCTAAAATTAAGGATATTACCTTTTTGCTGATCTTCCTGTTGCCTAGTCTTCTAATTTGTTTAGGCAATATTCAAAGTTATCGCTGATCCTAACTTCTTCAAGTCTCCTGTTCATTAGATTTCTCTCAGTCAGTATATCAATAGCCTCTCTGATCTTGCGTTTTCTCGTATTTTCACCATATCCAGCCAACCTATCGGCCAATTTCCAGTCGATTTAATGCCTCGTCCGTGCAATGTTTTCCGCTATTTCTTATCTTTTCGTATCCATGTTCCTGCAGAGTCTTTAATGTTCCTTGATTCGTAGGCCGATTTGTCTTCCTGTTTCACATATCTATTTCTGCTCATAGTTGCCGCGTTTGATGCGATAAACTCCCGAACACTTAAGTTTATCCGTCTTCTCATGTTGTGTTGGCAGACCGGTAAAAAGTGTCTTCTTCTCCTTCGTTATCACCTTGATATTCCATTTTCCTAATAAAGGTCGCAATTGTTAGCAAGTTGTGATGAGGGCAAGCAAATCCACTTTTGGTTGCTATCCTCATTCCTGATCTAATTTTCATATAATCCAAGT